GGTGCTGACCTGGTGGAGAAAAAAGTCACCATTGCTTTTCAATAATAAATATTTGATATGATATTAATTTGATTTTATATTTGATAGCTTAACTAGTAGAGTAGGGGAGGAGATGCAACTGATACACAAGGTTTTGACTTTGATAAAGCTTCCTACATTACTTTCCCTGTGAGAATTGTGCTTCAGAGGAACTATGGATTCTTGTCATTTGTGTTCTCAAAGGACTGAAAAAATACTATAAAATGTAGTTATTAGGTGCCTTCCAAATTTAAAGGTATCTTAGGTGTAGTGGGTCCTGCAGAAATAATGTGGGCTGTAATACTGTGAAAAAGCAGAAATGCCATTGTAAGGCACAGAAACTTGTCAAAAGTAAAGTAAACCATGGAACAGGACTTGTCCAGTCTACTCAAAGTCCTCAGCTGGAGTAATTTTCCAGCTTTATGGTGCTGTTGTAGAGATGATAAAGACAAACTGTGAAGTCTAGAGGAGAGTAACGTAAAAGATACAGCAGACGTTCCACCTTTAAGGAATGCTTGAAGGAATTGACAGTTTATTTTAGAAAAGTCTGAGAAGTTCGGTACATTATGTACAGAGAGTGGTGATTGCTTTTCATAGCTGGGGAAAGTTGTACCAAAATAAATGAGCTCTAGACCAGACGTTAGGAAAATATTACTCTTTGTTAGGAAAGAACACTCGTGATGCATGCTTAAGAAGATGTTGAACAACCATCTGGCAGCAGTGGTGTGGATTTTCTCAGTTCTGCTTCAGTGCTGGCCCTAGGACTTCAGCTTCCCAGGCCAAGGTAGACCTGTAGTTGTCCTTTTGGCCCCCTGGGTGTTTTTGCATGATTTGCCATAGGCCATAGCACAGGATTTTGAGTCTGGTTTGTTTGACTTTGTCCTGTCTAATTTCATTCCGTTTCTGTTACCGCGGAGCTCTTTCCTCCAGAGACAATATTATATCGAGAAATATTCTATTATATTTCTTTCCAGGGTTTCATGTCTCCTTGCCTTAAAATTATTCTCCCCTGTGAGTACTTCAGAATGTTTTTGTGTTGCTGCCCAAAGGCTTCCTGAGGAGTAAGAAGGAAAATTCATGCAATTCTTGTCAGTTCCCCAGCTGTCTATTGAACTCTGAAAGCATCTCTGAAGCTGAACAGAACTGTGCTAAAAGATCAATTACAGCAAAAAAAGACACAATCTATGCACAGAATCAGAAGGAGCATGCCTTTGTAACCCTTTACAGTCTGTTGAAGGTGTTGATAATACTGAAACCAAAGGTTTCTGTCAGATGCTTGCATTTTACGGAAAAGAATAAACCAGCTTTCATCTCTCCCTTTCTTACACTGCCTATGTGACCGAAAAAATGCCTGTGACACTTTTCCGAAAGGCTCCAAGGTTAAAGAGATCATAATTCAAAGACAGATGAGTGTCTCATTATGCACATGCACGCACAAATACATATTAAAAAGATTTCTGACTTTTTAGTGTAAATTACCTTGATCCTTTTTTTTCTTTGTTCTTTTGGGCCTGGGGCTGTTCGAGTATTTCAGTGGAGAAGGAATTTCCTTGGTTGATTTTTAAACCTCAAACTGACAAGAACTTTCAGAGTAAGAAGTATAAATCGCAGTTTCCAGTCATACTTTCTCAGAAGGTAAGAGCATGTCTTTGTGAGTAGCAACACAACTGTAGGGGATAGGAATGAAACCTGCATGAGACCTTGATTCGTGAATATTTCCTTTAACTCTGTAAACTTTGCAGATAAGATATCTCTGCATGGCATAAACCAGTAAGGCTGCAGGAGAGAGTGGTACAGCCTGACATGGAATATCTTAACAGCTTGAGTGCTACAGGGTGAGTAGTCCTAAAGCATCGGTAAAGATGGTGACATCTGTGTAGATGTTGGGCTGAACTCCAGCGGCCTTACAGATATAGCTGTAAATTTGGCTGGTTTGATGGAGCGCTGTGCCACCTCTGTGGTAACTTAAACATCTTTGTCAGCTATACTGACATCTCCATTTCCTGTCACGATAATGGGAACTCTTTCCTTTATTACATGAAGCTTAACTTGCAAGTCTTCAGGATACTTGGTTCTCTTGCAGAAGAGCTTCAGTCACTGCTGCTTTATATTGCACAGTCAAGTCTACCTGACCAAAAGGGATGTGTCTGTCAGCGTCCTCTTGCTGATGTGATGCTTCTGTAAGATCTTGAGAGAAGGCGGCTCTTTGATGTTACAGCTACTGGATCCAGTGTCATACCTTTCTTATGAGACACTGAACGCATAAGGTTACTTCTGGTGCAGTTAGAATGTTTGGAGGTGGCTGGAAATTGTTTTTTCTGACAAGTAAGTATGGTGGCTCTAGATCATGGAGGTCCATGTTTGTATTCAAAAGTGCAAAGCAGTAACAGTTTTAAAACACTGGTTTAAAAAACATTATTTCAGACGCTCACACCACTTACCAAAACTTGTGGTTTTGGTTCTGTCTCTAATTCTAGACAAGGATCTTTCATGCTCTCTACATCGCCAGATGAATGTACAGCTGTAGTCCTCGTTTTGCTGTTAACATGTTACAAGGGAAAAACTGAATTCTGAGGAGCTGAAGTAGCATCTTAGCAGACAGATAATATAATCTGTGGCTCATTTAGTGATTTTTATTGCACACCCAAAGTAAGTGCATTGCACTACATATGTAGTGCTGCAAGTGCTGCAATTTACAATATGTTGCAACATTCTCCATATCTGTAAGCTGTAGATTTTGACTTATTTTCATTTTTCTTGGTGTTTTTTTTTTTCCTCATCTTGTAACGACTGTACTTTTACAAACACTTTACTTCTCCTTATGGATCTTGTTTTGCTGTTTTATGTGTCGTGCCTAGTGTTGCCAAAAGAGAAGATGGGGGTAGCTTGGAACAGTGAAATATTTTCCTGTGAATAAACATGTTTCTAAAATCTATTTCCATCAGTGTTTATGCACACAGACTGTACTACAATGCCATCTACATTGCTGCCTCGAACAGTGCAAGTTTACTTTGATAAACACTTGGTCAAGAGATGCCAGGAATGCATGTCACATACAGGACAAGACAGAAGGTCTGATTAGAGAGAATCCCTAACAACGCTGCAGCAATGTGGTCAGTGCTTCCGCACGTCATTAGGGAAGGTCAGTGGCATCTCAGGCCCTTGTTAATGAACCAGTTGTCTCTCAACCTTTTTGACAAACAAACAGAACAAAAAACCTTTCCCAGACATCAGGACATGAAATCACATGTCTGTGGATTGGTTTTGTTCACTGGTCAGTTCAGGGTCATCTGGAAGCCATGACTGATGCTCAGGATTGTTTTGCAAATGTTGTGAAATGGTATTTTGTTGCATTGTGAGTCGCTGAAAGTGGAAGTTTTACAGCGTTAATGGGTAGGGAAACTATGTTTTTATCATTTCAAGGTATTTAAATTACAAAGTTTCCAGAGATTTCTTTAAATACAACATTCCTAATTCATAAAAAGCTGCTGAATTCTGAGTCCTGGGATATGCTGAATACAAGGCATACTTTTCCCCACGGATTCTTGAGGATCTGCCTGCAAAAGATGATACGAATGCATGAAAAAGATGGAAAATTCTTCTCAGGAGTAATCATGTTTCTCAGATCTGTTATTGTCTTTAGTGTCTATGTGTAGAAGCTGTTATTAGATTATCTTCTGATATTGTTTGGAAAAGGATTACTACAGTCAGCATTTTTCACTTTTAGATAGGTCAGTGTTACAGTTAAGATCATTCATATTACTGCCATGAACAATTAATTATACAGAATTGCAGGACTTTATTAATATCTGTTACTTTATGTAGCTTACAAAAAAGTGACATATGCAGAACACTTGATTTAAATGTTAATATGATTCTGATAGATGAATGGAAGTTAAAATTTACCCCTAAGGAGAGAATTCTGACTTCAGATATTTGTAGGTAAATTGTGATTGCCTGTAACAGTCACAAGTATTGCATTTGTAGCCTAGAAAAGCAATAAATACAAAACCTTTTAGAATTTGGAAATGGTTGCTCTCAACCAACGAATCACAGTGCTGCTTTTATGCTTCGATGACTTGTATTATAAATATTGGGTCTCTAAGCTAATGATGAGGTATGTCTTCAACTTCGGCAGCGCTTCTGCTTTGCATCTCCTGTTCATCTGTGTGTGTTTGAATCCACAGCAGAGTGTGGAGCTGTTCCAGACCAAACCACCCCCTGGAACTGTTCGTGCCGGAGTGGAAGCCAGCGTGTTCCAGCTGAATGGGCTTCTGTGGGCTCCAGTTTGTGCAGTCTGAATTTGCTGACTGCCATCTTTCACTTGACTGTCAGGCTGTAAAATTTCTGAGCTTGTCTTTTGGATTAAGACCTTAAACTTTTCATTTGATTCTTAATCTTTGAGTACTGTTTTCCAGATAAATGTTAGACAAATAGGCAGTCTTTAGTGCTCCAGATTTTGCCTCTGTTCCATTTTAAAGAGTGTATTTGCGTTGTTTAATGCCGTTAGAGTGGACTAACCTGGTGCTCAGAGGAACTGAGGCTCTGTGCTGAGCCTCAGAACAGGAACAGAAGTACAGACTTGCCTCTTTTCACTTTATGTGTTTTGTCCTGCTCCAAGTCTCCACCTTCTTTGAGGGGTGATGAAGGTAAAGATGCAACATGAACATACACTCTGGTACATTTCATCTTCATCCCCTTCCCAGCATTGTCAACAGGGAAGTATTACTTGACTCTTCGTGGTTTCTTTTCGTGTTCTTTAATGCCAGTTTCAGTTTATTGCTGTTTTGAGCTGGGCCTAACACATCATAAGAACACGAGGTTGCCATGAGATGTAAGCAGATTCTCATTGTAGTGTACCTTGGCTAGATCTGAACCCCTGAGTAACGGGCATGATATTTATATTAAGGAATCAAAATTTTGGCTTTTAGAAGCTTAGGAAGAAGGAGAAGGTGGTGTTCAGAAACTACAGCTTGGACACCATGGCAGACTTGGTTTTCAACCAGCTGCAGCGGCTGAGTGAAATTCCCTTGTCATCTAGCCGGCCCAAGTAACGTGTGTAATGCAAAGTGACAATTCTGTGGCAGAAAATGCCATTTTTTGCTAATGCTCACGCTGAGGAACATACGGGTTTCTGTCTCTTCTGCATTGTTTTTAGATTGGTTTCTATTAAGTGTGTTTTCTGTGCTTTCCAACCTGTTACGAAATCAACATTTTATTAAACAGAGGTGGTGTTTTCTTCCTAAGACATTGAATAGTAGCATTGAAAGGATATAGGGACAGTTTTTGTTGCACTCTGCCCTGTAGCCATTCGTATTTACAATCTTTAAAATCATTGCTTTGAACATACTCTATACTGAGCCAATCAACCTGATACCTTGGGTCAAGTGTAGTATTCTGCAGAGTGTTCTACATGCTGTGAAAACTACACTCTTCTGCTTTATCAGTCGGTCACGATTGCCTCCAGTTTATACCAGCTGCGTGCCGGGCTGCCAGCACGGAATCTGTGCGGTCATCTGCTGGCATACTTCATCCGCTTTTGAATGTAACTCTACGGTTGGTGGATTCTAGTACATGCACTGAGTGCGTTCTTTTACTTCGGTGTCCTTTTGAATGAACTGACTACTGAGGGATGCATACTGTTGGTTTCTGATTTCCCCCAAAGGAGGCCTCTGGTCTGGACTAAAAATGCTTTCCATTTGTCGCAGACAAGAAGAAAAAGTAGACCCTCTTCTTCTGCTCGTGGGGAGAGGATTTAAACTTCTGCACTGTTTTTCCCTCGTAGCAGCCTCAGGGATAGAGCCAAGTGCTGGAGCATGTGTGGGAAATAAGCTCTTGAGAGGTAGAGCTGGCAGAGGGGGGCGCTTCAGGTCAAGCTGACTTGCCTGGGCCTCTTCTGGGACTGGCAGTTTGCCCTGCTGCTTTATTTAGGGAACAAATAAGAGACTTCAGTCTTCTGAGCTGTCAAATTGCCATCTTTCACCGGTCTTGCACTGCACATAGGACAGTGTTTTAAAAAGGAAACTCCAAAAGCCTTTTTACCGTGATCACTGCAAACTAAAATAAAATCATTCACATGACTCTTCTAGTTTGGAAGCTCCTGATGAATAGCTGGAGGGTTTTGCAGCAGCAGTCTTGAAGAATAGGCTAGAAAATGATCATGTTCCTTCTCCAGTGACATGTATCATGATGTTTTCCACGACTGCATAATCTGTGTTGCCAGCGCTGAGTACTGCGATTTGGTTAATTTAGGGATTTGTGACAAATGTAATTTTGTAATCTGGCTTTCACAGTTGGTGCTGTAGCAGGAAAATATCTGTAACAGGGCAAATTGCTGGTGCTGCCAGAGGAATCGTTTTTTGTTATCTTGTTAACCCAAGGGATTGAACATGGCTGCTTTAGATTATGGAGGAAACTAAAAAAGTAGGGTTCTGCTGTAAGTCCTAAGTTCTCCTGCTGTTATGAGCCCTCAGTGAACATCTCACTGCAGTTGGTGACAAATACAAGTATTTCCCATCCTAAGATGCAGTTCAAGGGATCAGTCTGATGCCATCCATAACTGATTGCATAACACGCTTCCCAGCGGAGAAGTGAACAAGTAGAATTTTTAAAAGAATATTATTAAAGAGAATTTTGTGTCCTTTTTTTTGTTTTTTTTTACATAAAACATTTATTGAGGTTGCTGAGTGTATGTGACAGATGGTGCTCTTATGTCACATCCTATCTTTCATTTTGTTTTGCAACATGCAAGTCTTCCATGCATGCATAATTGCATTACAGCAGTGTAGGGTGATTTTTGTGTACTCACTGAAACATAAAGGAATAATCCAATGCGAGATCTTTAATGGGGGGTTATGCTAGCAGTGCTGTTAAGCAGTTTGCTCTGGTTTAAGTGCTGGCTATCTGGCATGCTTTATGATTTTTTTGCCTTATGGTAAACTTCAGGCTTAAAGGAAAAAAGTTGTTATTTCATCAATCTGCTGAATACATTCAAGTAACTAGACAGGTGATGTTGGCTACATAATGCTTTTGCTCTACATTCTGAAGCATTTGAAATGAATAGTTCCATCACAATGAAAGAATGCAGGTATATTTGAACTTTCCAGCTTGAGTACTCATCAGATGCCAATGCCTTAACATTTTATAATGTCAGTTCAGTATCTGGATGATTCTAAAATTGGAATGAAGAAAAATGTATCTTAATTTTCATTATATGTGGCATTACTTTCCCCCTTTCACTGGAGAGTGAGCTTGAGCCTGACTTAATTAGAATATTGCCAATCTAACTGTTTTATTTATATGGCATCCTGAATAGCTTCTACTGTCTCTTTTATGTCTGGCCTAGTGGATGGAACATACTGGACTTTGCTGTTGCCCATGGCTTACACTGAGCAAATTTCTCTATTGCACAAATTGGAACACTGGGAATGCATGTGAGACTGACAGAATATGCAGAGCCAACAGGCTCGTCATGTCCCTGGGATTTTTAACTGGAGTCTTATCCCACTTCTGATTATTTGGACTGGTGACTCTTGATGTTTCCCCGTTGTTTGTATGTATGCATTCTTCCCGTTGAATACAGTTAGCTTAAATGAAGGTAGTGAGGACATCTTCTCTCGTAAGGCAAAAAAGAGAAAGGAAACACTTAAACCAAGGCTAATATATTCACTCCATACATTGTCAGTCACTGAGCCCTTTACTACGTTTAATGCTATTGCAGTTGCGTGAACTCATTTATACCTTCTTTTATTGGCTTTTGAACAGTTTCCCAAAATCTAATGGGCTGAGTAGCTGTCCGTTGCTGCTCTGTACATCAAGGCAATTCACGCTGAGGGTTGTCAGCTAACTGACGTGCTGTCGGTTAAGTGCTGAATGCGACTGACTCTGGTCCGGTTTTGCAGTGAAGTCATAGACATCGTGTTTGGCTCTTTAGACTGCTGGTCAAGTAAATTTGGAAACACGTTATTTATGTTTCTGAGTGTATTCTGTGCTTTTGAAGATTATTTAGTCTTAATCCTAACCTTGCAGCGTTATTAATATTTCAGTGGCATGTGTGATTTCCTAGAGCATCAGTGTGCTTTGACTCTGACGCAACCTATCTGATGTTTCATCGTAAGATAAATCTGCCATTGCAGCATTGGAAGTGCAAAGGCAACTATACTGGCGATGCCCGATAAGCGAGGTGTGCCAACTTCCCAGGCTAGTAACACTGCTTATGCTGTATGAAGAGCAAAAGTACATCAGAAACCAAGTGGGTTTTTTTTCCCTTTAGTCGTATTAAGTAAGTATTAGTGGTTTGAGTAAAATTACAATCCGAGGCCAAAACCCATCTAAAGGAACTTAGAGGTGTGTGTGTGTCGACTTCTTTATCATGTGTATGGCTGCAAATGTGAAATGCACTGCAGCATAGATGGTTTCTGTCAAACAAGTGGTAGGATGTGTTGAGACAAAATGAGTAGCAAGTGACATTTCATGCAACAACCTTCTACTTGGTTTCTCTTAGTTACATAGTTTTAAACTATCAAGGCTAGAGAATGTAGTATTTCATTTTTTAGCTTGGAACATGGCTTTGTAAGCCACCGTCTACCTTTTCATTATGTTAAATAGCAGTTGATTTATGAGGAACAGGCCGCTTAAAGGTCTTCCATTTGTTTGTATTGCATCTCATGAGGAAGTACTTCCTCACTGTGAGGGTGACAGAGCACTGGGACAGGCTGCCCAGAGAGGTGGTGGAGTCTCCTTCCCTGGGGACTTTCCAAAGCCACCTGGACTTGTTCCTGTGGGATCTACTCTAGATGATGCTGCTCTGGCAGGGGGATTGGACTAGGTGATCTCTAGAGGTCCCTTCCAACCCCTACCACTCTGTGAATCTCATAACGGTACATACCTTCTTGTTGGGCAAACTAATTTTTAATTGATGTCACAGGTAATTGCTACTTTCTGCCTGGTTTAACAACGGTGTACTGAAGCATTTCTACTGCAGCTGCCTTTGCCCTGCCATAGCCACTCTTTGACAGCATGCTGTATACACAAAGGCAGGAAGGTGCGGTTTCTAACAGCCATACACGTATCTGTAGCACTCTTGATTTCTGTTCATTAGGACTCCCAAGTTTGTTCACTCACTGACTGTTAATTAACATAGTGCTTGTTAGGAATTAAAGTAGATCAGCTAGTGAAAACTTATGCTGAGGTGTCAACCATGTTAAAATTCAGTTTTGGCATTATGTGTTACAGTATCTTCAGCTGACAAATCTTCTGCTTTGCTTGAATAAATCTTGAATAATTTTCAGGTTCTTTTTAACTATTACAAATACTTTATTTTCTGTTTCCTGTTATACTTTCTTACCAAAATGCTGACACACAAGGAAGACTTTTTTTCCCCACCTTTATACAAATACCTTTTTTTCTGTTGTGTATTTTGATGATTCAGCGTTTGCAAGAACATAATTAATTCCTTGAACAGTTATGATACAAGTGTGGTGCCATCCTGTTTTTGATAGCTCAAATTCCTAGTCGATATAAGTTAACTTCCTACAACATGGTGATTTTTCTGACTGGCTTTCTGAAATCGGAGTTCTGTGGCCTAGCAGCTGGATGTTCATATCATAAAATTGTGCTCTATTTGTTTTTAATTATCAGCTAGATTCTTAGGCTTATTGAAAGGGCCAGGCCAGGAAGAGATTGTGGAGCTCCTGGCTGTTGCTGAAGGGTTCCCTGTTCTTTGAACAGAGCACGTTAGTTCCTGGGTACCAGTCTGTAACATACCAGCATCTAAGGGTGTGTGGGGAGGGTGATCACATGGTTGTGAGTAGTTTTGTAGTTTTACCTGCTTGATGGAAAATCATGTAGTCCTACAATTTTTAGAAGGAATAAATGTAGAAGGGGCTTCTGTGTGTGTGTGTCTTTTAATTTAAATGGAATGAATCTGGCTTTGTGGCCTCAACTTCGGATAGCATACTTTTTGGAAGGAACATACATTTTAACTACATGTGCAGCATAATTGTAACAATTCTTGAACACAGGCCATTGCTGCAAACCTAATAGGCAGCAAGAAATCGGGCAGCAGTGTGTAGAAAACAGTTACCAGTGCAGCAACTGGTAATGAAGAACAGCCTGTGATGAAGGACTGGGTAACAGCAATGTGGTGTGATAAACTAGAGTGGTGTTGGGTGGTTTTTTGTGTGTGGGGTTTTTTTTTTTTTTCCCCACTCAGGTCCTTAGAGCTTCCTTATCCTTCCACCTTCCTTAGATGTGCATCTCTAGATGTGAGGTGGCCTCCTGTGCATCTGCCTTAATAGAAAACAGCAATCGGAGTCTGTCAGGTCAGAGCAGGAGCAAGAAGCCTGATTCTTCCACAGAGTAGCTAGATTTCTAAGCTAATTTTCAAGTCCTTAATGATATTTGTTAACAATACTTTATCTTTCAGTTGGTCTTTCTGTTTTCAATAGTAAAAATATATAGAAAGTTTTATGCTACCCCTCTGTTGTGAGAAAGAATAATTTAATTATTTCTTTATGTGGATGTGAAACTTCCCCCCTGCCCCTTCTCCCTTTCCTCCATGAAGGAGGAAATTTGTGAAACCCAGGCCCAGAGAGTGGAAGAAGGCTCTGACTTTACATATACTTCCTCTTCTCCTGTACATATCTCCCTATTGATTATTTTCTTCAGTTCCTGGTATTTCTGTTGGAAAAATAATAGGTTCCCTTGGTAAATGAATTGTGTCAGTATGCAAAATGTTCTTTTTTGTAGTAGTCCTAACACGTCTGTTTTCACTTTGTTGTTTTTCAGCTGTATCTTGTTGGAGGATCTTTTGGACTCCGTGAGTTTGCTCAAATAAGATATGATGTCTACAAACTACATGGCAAGGTAGTTGAAATGGTTTTCTTAACTTTTCATTTTATGTATTTACTGTCTTCTAAAGGATTGCTAGGACAAACAAACTATTGGTATTGGGGATTTGTCTTTCACTACTGGGCCCTGGGCTACAGCTGAGTCTCTTATGCAGTGAGTATTGTGGGTAACAGTAAAGGAGCTGACGTGCTGATGAATCCTTTTACCAACTGTAAAACAGAGCAGTGTAAGTAGCAGAAAATTTTGTTCCTTTGGTTGATTGTAAGTGGCAATTCTGAATCCTGAGAAAGGAGTGTAGCACATATAGAAGGAGGTTATTACAATGATTTTGTATCTGACAGACTAAGAAAACTGACCTTTTAAAAGGTTCTGTTTTCAAACAATACTTGGGACTGAGTATATAATGTTAGACGGTTTCTGGGGCTTGGCTTTGCGTTGACTAATATAAGCATATACGTTTAACCTTATGCTACATCTGGTTCTTTTACGCTCTGTGAAAGAAACAGGAGCAAGTCTTTATTCAGTGTGTCAGAATGTACTCTATGGAAGGAGCCTTTCTTTAAACAAACTGGAAACCTGAATGCAGGAAATGTCTTGCTTACTAGTGCTGCTTACGCCTCCAAGGGTAACACTAGTTCCATATTGTATAGGAAATGATCTGAAAGGAGCATGTCAGTAAAAAATGTTGGCTTGCTTTCCCTAACTTTATAATATACAGGTCTGACATTGCAGTGCAGAGAGGCTTTCTGGTCTCAGGGCTGCTGACTTGTAGGTGGCATGAAGACTCTCTGGCACTTTAAATAAAAAATAATTATCCCTCATTGTTCCTTATGTTGCATACCTTTGAATACCTTTGCATACCTGCAGCCTTTGAAGCACCATGTGGCCCACTCCAGCTCAGTCCCATATTTGACATAGCCTATAGACAGAGGAATCTTACAAATCTTTTCTTCAGGGCTGTCTTCTGGGTAGTTATTTTCTATTAGTCCTGGGCTTTTAGGACCATGGGGATCACAACAGGGGCAAGAGTTTAGCTATTGTGTTTCTGTTAGCTTTTTGGTCAGATCTGGTCTTAGAGAATTAATGTGGCCTTCAAGATCTGCACCGTGACCGCAGTCCACGGAAAAGACGTGGTAATAGTTGTACTCGTTGAGATCTGTGAGGCTCCTTGTCCCACCATTTAAAACCAAGTGAAGCATCATCAAATTAGACAGTAGTACATGAAAGTGCTGAGGGGAAGCTGGAGTTTAAGCTCTGAAAAGCTAAGAGGACATGGATTCTGCTCTAACCGGTATTACTTTGTATTCTTGTGGCTTAATGAGAAAAAGCTGCATTAGTATTAATGTCAAACTGGCTTTTGAAGAATGTTCCTTGATAAAGGAATTGAAACTCAAGAGAAAATGTTGATTTGGACTTTCTGTGAGAGTACGGTTTGGTGGTGATGCGTTGGACTGGGGTTAGGATTAGGGTTGGGAGAGAGACACTGCCTACAGCTGCAGCTGGAGTGGGACTGGGAGGGGGCTGCCGTCTTGTTCAATTTGGCCATGGCTTGGGATCTTTGGCTAAGGCTCAGCTGATGTATAGGGTAGAGAGACAGAGCCTAGCGCTGCAGTTGGAGAGGGGCTGTTTGCATCACAAGAACAGATGTTTTATCCATTCAGAATAGCATCTTTGGATATCAGGGCTTTGTGTATGCCCGTCTCTTGCAAAGTGAAAAAACCATTTTGGTTACACCTTACGTTACTCTGGATACTTGAGTCAGTCATATTCCCTCAGCACACTGAACGTTCTGCGTTCAATGTGAACTTGTGCTGAGACTTTTGTGGCTGTAAATGCCTGTTTATGCTAGTCAGAATTCTCCTGAAACTAATCAAGGGTTTCTCCATTATCTGTTGTTGCCAAAATGTCCATTAATGGAGAAGTCATTAGGTTAGGTAATCGTTTCTTTTTCTGGGAAGAATTTATGCAAATTAAAATTGGTTATAGAAAACCAGGTATGCTTACTGGAAAATCATGTGGAATTAATGGAGAAGAAATGAGTAGGTTTGTATAGGCATCGTTCCAAATGCTTTTATTCTCACATGGAAAACTAGGCTCTGTCTTACCTCTCATTGTGTGTGTAATTGAGTAGAGATGCTTATTTGAGGAGGTTTTTTACAGAAAATGACTTCCATTAAATATACAGAAAAGGTTTCCTTTCAAGAATATAATAGAATATTTTTATTTACTGTGTGCCCACTGCTGACGTTCAAGGCATGGTAGAGACTTGCTGATTCAGATCTAATTTTGGATATAAGAATCTTGGACATGTGAACCGGTCTGCACTATTAGCTGATAGTTACTATAGAGGATTGAAGAGATTAACCACCTGGGAAAACCTAGGCTTTTAGGCAATCAGCAAACCATTTAGACTAATAAAATAGAGTCTGTAAGCTCCAAAACCGTTTTTTTGAAGAAGTATTATTGTGAGGAATGTTCTCAGAGTATGGGGAGAGGATAGGACTGAGCAAGGTCCTCCAGGATAATGTGCAGCAGCAGTTCTAGGAAGACTAGAATCTCTAGGTCATTTTGTCAAGAAAGAAAACATCAATTAGCTTTTCAAGTCTGCAAATAGTTCCTGCTATGGATTAAATACAGCAGTGTTACTGTACTGACCTCCTTAGTGTTTATAAACTGTGTCAATCCTGTTCACTTTTCCTTTGTCCTATGCAAAGTGAGCACACCCCAGAAGTAGAATGCTAAGAAATGAGGATAATAATGATTTCTGTCTTTCTAAGGCAGAAAGCAGAGGCAATGAAGAGTCAGAAATGACAGAAGCTTAGTCTGTTCTCCTGCATGATTTTCACCCTTGAATCAGCTGTTGTGCATTTAAACTATGTATGACCATTGCATGGCACTCCCGAGATAAAATCCAATTGAAAATGAAAATACATGACCTGTTCTTTCAGAATGCCATCCTCTGTGAGCAGTAAAACCGTAAACCTGGGAAGAGTACAAAAGGAGTGATGGCAGCGGTGTGGAGCACACTCGTTAGGAAGTGTGCTGGGAGCGTAAAGCTTTCTTAAAGGCAATCCACTCAGCCTGCTTAAAAATTTCTGCAGAGGGAATGGCAGTGTTTTGAGCTGCCTAGCTAATCCTTTTGGCTGATTGACTGGCTTGTAAGTACCCATGAGGCACTGCTTATAGACACCTGCAACGTGTTAGTGTTGCCATTGTCAATTCTCAATTTATTGCATTGACTTGATGTCTTGAAGTCCTAACTCATGAAATGATCCAACTGTGAGGATCTCGGCTTTCATTTTACAGTCCTAGGCCTCGGAGTTGGGAAGAAGGGCACATACGGTGTGTGGAGGATTATCCTGTAAGTTTTGCTGTCCTTCAAAAAAGAAAAGAATGAGGAGTGGAAGAGAAAAGAAGGCTAATACGATGACATACAGTGCTAACATTTTACTGGTTTACAGCTGTTCTCATAATGGAGCTTGACAGTGATAATTGTGTTGACTGATTGGTTATACTTAGTATTACAGTTTCAGAACATAGTTGGTGGGTCGCTGGTGTTGTCCCTTAACATCATGTCTTGAAACTCATGAATGGATGTCAAGGCACCCACGGCAGCATGCAATTTAAATAATGGGAAATTTTGCTTCTATCTTGTTCAGGTTCTTTCTTTCGTTCCTTCCTTTGTCATGGAGCTCCTCTCTGCCTATGAGCAAGTCACTGTATTTTAGTGAGTCTCACTTTCTCAGTCTATAAAAGTGAGGTAATGCTGCTTTACTTTACATCGGGAACAGGAAAGTTAATTAATTCCAATAGAAGGAATTATTTAAATTCAAATGAGTATTTAAAAAAAAATATTTCCCCAGGTGAGATCCATTAATTTAAGTGTTTTGGGTCAGGGTGAAATAGTTTAGGAGGAAGCAAGAGCAGAGAACTGACCAGTTTCCGTGGGGCCTTTATATCAGGAGAAAACTGACATTTGCCTCAGGGAGGTCCAGGAAATGAGTCCAGCATTTTCTCATTATTCTGATTGGGTAGTTGTGAAGTAAGTGATAATCTGCCTATTAGAATGCTTTTGTGTTGCAGTCAAAACACTTCTCTGCTTCACAGACATACCGAATCTTGTTTCAAACTGTTGAGATGGTGACAGGTGCAGCAGCACAGCGTTTAAATGAGATTGCAATGTCCACCCAGCAAGGGGAATAAATTTGGGAATGACTGGACAAGACCAGTCTGTTGCTGGCTGGCACGTTCATACTGCCTAGCTCAGGTGTATCTGCAGGAGTTGCACACATTGGCATGCCCTGAAGTGTTACAATTAAAATTGTCTGTTGGTTATTGCTTCTATTTTACCTCCCTATGAACTCTACCTGGATAGAATTTCTGTGCCTCAGCAGAAGTTTGGTTTGAGTTTTTTTTGGTTGGTTTGTTGTGTTGTTTTGCCTTTTTTTTTTCTTTTTCCCCAAAAAGACATGTTACAGAATTAAATCTAATTTAAAAGGTTATTGTAAAATTAGTATGTTTTCTAAACTGTCATATTTCTTTAGGTCACATAATTTGTATGAGGTAAGGATTTTAAAACAGAGTCACCTAAACTTCTGAATATGTCTGTAGCATTTAAAATTACACAAATAATGTTCTTTTTTACTTACAGTTGCGGAATGTCAACAGATTGTCCCTGTCATTAAACATATTGCGAGCTGCTAGTGCTAGATAAAACTGCTTTACTGCGACCTGTCTTGTTTATCTTATTTGAGGACCTGCATCTGTGTTAGAAAAGGGTATTTGCTCTATTTGCAAAGCTATCAAAGACACTAAGAATTTAACTGAGGTAGCAAGCAGTGTTGTAGCTGGATGTAAAGGTGTGGTTTTCACTCTCTTCCCCCAGGTTGTTCTGAAAATTTCAAGGTATTTTTATTGCAGTTCTTAATGGATAAGCATCCATGCTTGAATTCATATTACACTTCGGTGTTCCCAAAGGTCTGGCCAAAACTTGACTGACTTCATCATTTCAATGA